GTTGGAAGAAGTTTAATTGATTTTGAGATAGATATAAAGATAAAGTAGGAAGATTATTGCATACAAGACTATATCTTAAAGGTAGGAGTATAAAGAAAATGAATAAAAAGAAGAAAAGAAAATGAAGAAGGAAAAAAATTAATATATATATATATATATATACATACATACATACATACAAAAGAAAAATAAGAGAGAGGAGGAGGAGATTATGAGCCTTATGATGGAGGTTGTGGTAGTAATAGTTCTTAGAGAAGGGGCTCTTGGAATGAAGATGAGAGGTAGAGAAGAGGTTTAAGATAGGAGAAGAGGCATGGAAACAAGAGATTAGAGACTAAGAACAGGGACATGGTGGTTGAGATGGAAAACAAGAATTAGGGACATGTAATAAGAAATTGGGATTAGGGATGGAGGTCAGGGACTAGGGACCAAGTTGGAGTTTGGAAATATGTGACAAAGACAGAAGATAGACTAAATTAAGAATAAGTGAATGGAGGTGTGGCTTTAACAACTCTCTAAACTTAAAGTAAATAACTAAAATATTTTAAATAGTTTTTAATATGTATATTAGATAATTTTTAGTAATTCAACTTTTGAAAAAAAAAAGAAACAAAAAAAAAAAAGAAAAAAAAAGAAAGAAAGAATACGAATTATGATATTAAAATGTTCAGGTACAAAATTTGAAAAAATATTATCAATTTTTACAATTTCAATTAATTAATTGATTTTTTTTTGTTAAAAATAATAAATTTTGATTAGATATCAAAGCCAATGGAAACTCTTATGATTTTTGATAGTCTTCTTATTAATTCTGAATTAAAAAAAAAAAAAAAAAAAAAAAAAGAGGAAGAAAGGATAAGTATCATGAATTTGTGATTTGTATTAAAAAATGTGAGAATATGCTATAACTGTGTATTCTGTTTGAGATACTTGGAGCATATTTACATTTTAATTTTTGATGCATAATTTTGATCATATTACAATTAATCTAATAATCTCAGTAAAAAATAAAATATTATTAGTTTGAAACTTAAACATGTTTTGTCGAATAAAATCAGGTGTAGATTACATGAAAGTTAGGATGCATAAATAACTAACTTACAAAATATATCCAAAAACATTTTTGCAATGATTTGAATATTTTTCGGAAAACGTGATCATTATTTATGGTATATGGTGGATATTTTAGTTGTTATGCAGTAAATTGTAAATGGTGCTTCAATTTGAAATTTAATTCATAAAATATTTATTGGAGTTATATTTTTTAAGTCAAGAATAAAAGGCTATAGAACATTTAATATACTTAAAAAATAGAAATAATGGTTACTGACACCTCTCTTTATTTATTTCTATTTTTTAAGTATATGGTTACTTTATTTATTTCTTAATATTTTTTATTTAAAAATCTAAGTATATGGTTACTTTATTTATTTCTATTTTAAATTTTAAAAGTAAATATATAATTTGAAATTTATTATTTAAAAAAATATGATTAATATTTATTTTAATTGACTTATTTAGTTCTATTCTTAATGTGTTTGATTATTCAATGTTTAAAATCTAAAACCATGTAGAGCAAAAATTATATTAAGATTTTTTTTTATCTTATCAATTGGAAACTATATTTTTGAAATATTTTTAAGTATTATATAAAAACATAAATATAAATATAATATTGAGATACTCAGATGCTTATTTAGAAAATTATTAATGCGTCATCTCCAATTATATTGTTACATCCCACATAATCTCTTTGTAGACAACTAGCTAATAATATGACTCTTTCTTTTGTGCATTTTTTTCTCTTCTTTGCTTTAAAAAAAGGTGGTGGTTGAGGATGAGACAATAAATATTTTATGAGAGAATATTTTGTTTTGCAACTTTTCTTATAAAGATTAAAAAATTCCTCAAAATTTTTTTAATTCATATTTTTTTTATATGACTTCCAATAAAAAAACAAAAAAAAAAAAAAAAAAAAAAACTAATTTTATAATTTATTATATCTTTTAATTAATTTTGGGACTGAATATTAGATTACCAAATATGTCATAAGTATAGAAATGTACTTTTTTAGTCAATTTAAGTTATGTAGATGTCATGTGGGATGTAGCAATATTATTTAGGGATGTAGAGTTAAAAATTCTTCTTATTTATTATCTGATATTAAAAAAATTGTGAAGAAGTTTATTTATGATTTAATTGCAAAACTTATTGCATGTAATTTTTTTTTAATTTAATATTTTTTTTTGAAATAAATGAGGTGAAGGTTTGTAACACAATATATTTAATTGTTTTATTTAAAAAAATGTCTCCCAAAAAGGCCATGTTTGAAACCCCCTAATATGTCTACCATTTCTATCATAGTTTCCACAAAATATCAATAGTATACAAATCACAAAGATTATTTTTTCAAGACCATGATGTCATTGTTGGTCATTCTTTAATCACTTTTCTTGGAAAAATCTTGCAAAAGTACCTCATCACATTCATGGAAATCTTACAAGAGAATTTTTCTTCCACCTTTTATTTAAAGAACGTACCACTCCAACTTTTGTTGCTGACATTAATGCCCATACACACACACTCAAACTTCCGCATATCACAAAACTGCAAAAATATTGAAACTAATAATTATCTACTTGTAATCATTAGAATACATCTACCACTTTCATCAAAGTTATTCTTTTGTTCACTAATTCTCAATACCACTCAAATCACATACATTGTTTCTCAAAAATGTGATTTTGTATGGGGTCATCCTTGATAAGTTTTTTGAAAAACCTTGCAAATTTGTACCCATGGGGATCTGCATAAAATCAAAATTTCCTTGTAGAGTTTCTAAAAGGAAAGAAACAACTTCAGAATTTTTCACCAACATTAGTTCTCCCCCCACAGACACACCAAAACCTCCACAGATATCCAAACCCTTCAAAGGACCCCACTTCATCTTTTTTGCAAAGTCTGCTGCAACCGAGCAATTATTCAGACTTTTCCCATGGTTTCCAAGACTTTCATACATGCAACTCCAGCCGCACAAGTTACTCCAGTTTCTGCAAGTGAAAAAGCCACAATCTCTTCCATCCTCAAAATGCCATTATGCATGTGCTTTTCAAAGTTAACATTCAATGAATATCACAAAACCCTAAAAATGCACTTACAGGCTGACATTCCATGAATATAACCTAACCCTAAATATCAGCTTGAGGTTTTTATAATATGTCTTCCTGGTTAAAAAAAGAAAACCTGCTTTCCCTTCCCTCTTCTAATTCTTTCTCTTTCATCTTCTTCTTCCTCATTTATTTACGTATATTTTATAACCAAGTCAACTTTGTGGCTGAGCACATGTGGTCTGCAATATTGGTACTGTTGGGCACACAGTGTGGACATCAAAAGGGCTGAAAAATGGGTTTGGGAGTGGGACAGTTCCCAACCAAAGGTTCCCAAGGCATTGACCCACTTTGCTGACTTTCCACACAGTAAGTGGACTCCACCTCACAGAACTGCCACAAGTTCCTTTGCTTTTGCAAAATCCAGACAGAGCCCATTTCTTCCTCATTTCTTAGTGTTTCCCTACACACCAACACTCCTCAAACCCATCATACAGTTTTCACACTTGTCTTGTTTTTTTTTGGGGTTTTAAACTGTCTCTGAAGGTGAGGATTTAAAGGGTGTAAAAACAGTTTTTTGAAACTTTGACTGGAACAACTTCCATATCTAGGTGGATTTAAATAGGCAGTATCTTTTTTATCCCTATTCACATTTGTTTTTGTTTGTGTACATTCAATTGTGGGAGGCAGATTTTGGGCAAATGAATTGGGCTTAGCTGTAAGTGTGCATAATAATTGTTAACAAATGTTGATGGTCTTTTTCTTTTTTGACTTTTTGACTATTTAAAATTTGTGGTCATTTATGACATGATTTCAAATTGATATACAAGTCAAGAATGAATATAACATGCATGTTTATATGATCTTCAGGGTGAAAAATATTGTATTCTTTGCTTTACAAAATATTAAATATAATTTGTATTACAAAATAAAAGGTCTACAAACAAAGCATAGAATACAATATTTTTCCATAAGGTCTATAAATAAAGCATTGAATTCACATATTTAAGCAAACAATAGCAAAAAGGACATTTTCACAGTCCATCTCTCTTCTCAGTGCACTCCACGTCATGCTTGCTTGCTTGCAGGTTGGCTTGCTGGCGGGCTCGTGCGGGGAAGGATTTTGTCGACGCACCCACAAAACAGACTCACATAAGATGAGAACCACATGAGCACCACTTTGTGATTGCGAAATGTGCGAAATGTGCGAACTCGGAGATGCGGAGCTTTTGCTGATCTGAAACTAGCGGGGTGGATTCGGAAGAGTGTGCCGAGTCTGAGATTGGACACAGTCATTCCATTCATGTGGGTGCGTCGATGAGGAGACGACTGATGAGGTAATCCGCGTGACAAGTCAAGGCAGTTGACTATAGAATGACTAGCATCCAGACAACTGATTCCGGCTCCCCCTTAAAGCAGCTACCTGATTGAGGCCAGAACTACCGCCAGCTTACCGAGCATTCAGGTCTGATTTGGTTTAAAATTAGTTTTAATGAAAAAAACACAGACAAAAAAAAAGTGGAGAAAAAAATTTGCTGGGCAGTGTGATGGCATTGTCTGTTTCAACGCCGTGGAAGTAGCAGTGCGATGGATTTACGACCAACCACTGATGCCGGGCAACGGCCGCGATGCATGCGGGTTCCTCCGAACTCCCTTGAGCAGTGTGCATGCGTACAAGGACGATTCGCTCTGCACATTGACAGAGTAGACTTGGGTGACGCCGATCAACTCAAGGGTCCCACACGACATTGATGTCCCTGGTGTCTTGAATTTCACCTGGTGAATGTTGCAGCCCCCCCCCCCCCCCCCCCCGTTTGGATGTGGGTAGTAGTAGTATCGTGGGATGGTGCCTCATTTTAATGATTTCCAGGACGTTCGTCGGAGTTCTGATGCACTGTTTGGGGCTGGCTGATGTAGACGCTGGCGGCCGATTCTACGCTGCAAGCTACAGTAGTGAGTAACAAGTTCCGAGACGGTTCTTGGTGGATCTCTTTAGAAAATGCGTGCGATCGGGCGAAAGTATTTATAAGTTCTTGAGTTCAGAGGACGTAGAGTGCTTTAAAAGAGTCGTAGAATTGGTCTTCATCGATTCACACTCGATCTGAGTGTTAGTCCAGTAGCAGGTGTTGGAAGAGCATTCTTGGCAGGTTTGTGTTTGGAGGAGGAATCGATCATTTTCAGATCAGGTTTGGTGATTGTGTTGTGATTTTGAGGCGTGGAGAGAAAGGAACAAGGTTGGTGGAGATATTTCAATGTCTGTCATGGTCGCTACTCCGCCCTGCACCCCGCGTACTCTGCAAAGGTGGAAACTCGAGGAGTTTCAGCATTATCTTCTGGAAGAAGACGACAACCTCTGGATCACGGAGGAGGAACTCATGCCTTCGCAGCAGATGGAGAATTCAGAAGAATTGAGCGCTGAAGCATTCTTAGACACCCTCACATCGCCCTCACATACTCCCAAGTCCCCTGGTCTGTTGCCATCGTGGTCATCAGATGAGCTTCGTTCTTTGGATCTTTCAGACCAGGTTCGAGCTCAATCAATGCTCGACGACTTGTGTAATGTGATGCAAGCATTCTCGGGGCAACATTCAGTTCAGTCCAGGGTGCACAACTTGTTCCCTGCGATTCCCGATAACCTCAGCTCGTCGAGTGTTGGGCCGAGTTATACAAGGTCATGTAATGGTGATTCTGAACACATCGATTTTGCGGAAAGTTATCTGGAGGACGATGATGCTCAGGCTTGGATTGAATCGTTTGGAACAGAGCCACAAGCCTCATCACCATCGCAGGAGGAAGGCTGTATGCCGAAGAAAGATGACGTGCCGTTGCGAGCCAATCTACAAACTCTTCAAGTCAATTCCAAGAGAACTCGGCTGTTCAATTACCGGGGTGTGAGGCGGAGGCCGTGGGGGAAATTTGCTGCAGAAATCCGGGATTCCTCACAAAACGGTGCTCGGATTTGGCTCGGGACATACGAAACGGCTGAAGCAGCTGCCGTCGCATACGATCATGGTAACACAACATTATCCTTGCACTTCCTTTTAATTCTAATTATTTTGAAGTTTAGTCACAGGAACTGTAAATCAACTCCACCATGATCTGTGATTTACTGGCAAGCTAACATTCCTTTATGTTCATTTTTGCAGCGGCATTTGAAATGCGAGGTTGCAAGGCTCTCTTAAACTTCCCTCTGAATGCCCACATTTACTCGGCTAACCTGGCCGCAAAGAAAAGTGCCGGCAGCTCTCCCAAGTCTGCCAACTCGTCGAAATCCCCCTCAAAGACATCAGCACCCCTCCGATCGTCAGGGCGGGAACAGGGAAAGTCATCTTCAGCCGGCACACCGGCAGAGAAGTTCAGTAAACCAAAATCTCCCTCGACCAACTCGAAATTCCCGAAGAGAGCCAACCCGCCTGCTTTGGCCGAGCCAGCTCAATTCACGAACCTCAACCAAACAAGCGTTCAGAAAGTGGAAGCAGAGCTAGCCGCACAGACTTTGGCCAGCAGCATGGCCGTCGTCTCCCCCCAGCTTCTGCAGATGAAAGCTGCCATGATGCAGAAGGCAACTGGGCTGATCACTATTTGTTCCTTAATGCAGCTTCTTGGTGGAATGTCCAGTCCGGCATGTTCTGCATCTTATGGCACGCTACCACAACTTCCACAGAGAGGTTTCTCATACTTGGAACAGGCAGCATTGATCAACGCACTGCATCAAGAGCAGAACTATGGATTTCCATCCACCTCAGCCGGTCTCAAACGCAGCAGATCGGCAGAGTCGTTCGCAGATCCTGCAAGCTTGTGGGAGCCGTCCTCTAAGAAAGTTTTCCGAAGAACAGCTGCCATGGGAAGTTCTACTTTATATTAATCTATCTTTAGGGGTCGAAATTTGTAGTTTATTTGAAGGGTTACATTATCTTGATGCAACCCATTGCTAAAATAGATCCAAGAGAGGTCATTCCCGTCGGGAAAAGGACGTGTACAGGTGAAATTGGGAGGCTCTCCGAGTTATGTATCATATTAGGGTCGATGACCCTCAGAAGATGAATTAACTTTTTGTTCGCGACAATTTCTAGACACCAGACGAATATTTTTGTGGTGAGCTGAAATGCTGGCAGTTTGCCGGAATTAAATGCTTTTAACAGGCTTAGGACAGCAGTTAGCCGGAATTAATCCCGGACTGTTGGGGAATCACAACACTCCAGAGGCATCCCTTCAAATTGTGAATAAAACTGATTTGAAGCATGATTTCATTGTGTTCAATTCTTGTAATTATTCTATGTGTTTAATACTTAAATTTGAGAGGATATTAATTGATCCCACTGATTGTTCAACTTCACAACAAAAATGTTCACTCCTGGATCACAGTGACTCGCTCTGGTCTACTCAGAACCCCTAAGAAATTGATAGCACTTATCCTGTTCACTTAATTCCCTATGACAAGATACCACATTACCTCACCTTGATAAGACATGGTCAGGTGCCAGTCCACATAAGATTTCAGCCTGAAATGTGATGAGAATACAACTCCTAAAGTGCATCTGCAGAACTCTGTGCTCAAATTCTATTAATGTTTACCAGCCTTCATGAACACGAAGGGATACGTTGTTGGCGAAAACACACACATCGGCATGGTCCAACTTGGACTACATGTCATCCAATCAGCCAACCTTCTAAAAATTACATTCAGTCAAACATGAATCCACTTGTAGTAGCACCGCAGTAGCAGATATGTCACCTCAGTGAGCATTTGTCGGATGCTGCCACTTATATAGCTAAGTTGAATAGCAACTTGAGATACATGTAAATATCAAGGACCGAACACAATAATCTCAATGCAAAGTTTACCACTTTCGTTCCGCATTCAAGATATCAGCATGGGTCACTTGTCGCAATATATGTCACTCACCTTTTGAATATTTCTGATCAAATTCACAAACACATAGAATTTAAACGTCCTCCGGGTATGTTTCAGCTCCTGGTTCCGCCGACCGATGCGTGGCACTTACTCTGTGACGTATCAACTCATGATCAACATGTTGGTCTGCTGCAAGGCGGGTGCTAAACTTTCCCGTACCAACCAGACTGGAAAGCAGCAGGCTCCACCACTGTCGGGTCCATCTCATTATAAGTCGATGTGATCGTTACAATGGTCTGGTGAGAGCATTTTTGCTGGGAACAGCTATGACTTGCACAAACGGGCCTCCAACAGCCCTTACAGGCAGCATTGTCCTTCGTTCCCATTTGCCGATTGCTTTGCGGCCGTGAGGGAGTCACGTATGGCGCACTATTCAAATTGACTTCCGCACTTCTCACCCATTTCTCGCCATGATTTTCGGTGGTCAAGAATCTATCTGTCGAGTCAAGGGCAGCATTGCATCGAATCCAGGAACCAGGTAGTTATGTATCAGGGGTATTAGGAAAGCCCCTCAGCGCCTTCCCCCTGTTCCAGTTATATTTTACGAAATTCCAGCAGAAGTAACAGAAATGGATCAAGGTTATCATGCTCAGAATCCTTCACCTGATTTCTCATGTGATAGAATCCAGATGACAGAGAGGTAACTCCTACATTTAACTATTGGAAACTGCCATGCCGGAGCTGATTGGAGGAATGTTGACGTTCAGTTCCAAGATTCTCTTTCAGCTAATCCCAGACGTAGCTTTCCACCAGCACCGCGTGTTAGCAGCATCCTGATTTTTCGTCCAGACCGAAAAACCTCCATCTTCTCATTGTTCCCCCGATTTCTATCGTCTACTACGCGTAGAACACCAATTGCAAAAAAAGAAAATACGAAAAAGAAAATGAGGTATCACACAGAATTCAAAAACCAGAAACCTTGCATTCGATATTCCCCTAATTTTTAATCATTTTGTCGTAGTCTTTCATCGCAATCAACAGACCGGTTAAATAATGCCCTGATCGAACCTTACCACGAAGATGGTGACAATTTTCTACCCAAAAGACGAGTAATGCAGCGTGATATTGTAGAAGAAGCAGCTCAGGAACTGTCTGATGGTGGTGTAATTTCTCACGCAGCAGCTAATTGAGAAGTGATTATTGATCCACTTCCAACTGCGATTATATGTCTTCAACGAGTTTTTACAATGTATTTCAACTTTACAATATAGATATCAGTTCTTCTGGAAGCGATCAATCGAATAATCGGAAGAATTTCTGATCACGTAATTATGCATATTGCCTGTGAACCAACCAAGGTTCACCTTCCTCACTATTGTGAAGTGCCGGTTCGTTCAGACTTCTCTTTCGTCAGAAGCGATCCAGAAGTCACTGGTAAAAATGACACCGCAATTGAGGCTTCACTACTGCGATGGAGAGAACCCTCGTCACTGCATCTATCGTCGCCATTGTCAACTTGTAAGCAGCTATCGCATCTGACCAAGACTGATCGAGAGAACGCAGATAACGAAGCGCTGATGGATGCATCGAATCTAATACCGCGTCTGGACGCGACTGTCGTCCGGACTAGGTCAGAATCAGCTCGCAGTGTCGATGAATTGCTACTTTCGGAGCCTCTCCGGCTATTTCCTATGCCCCAGAAACTGATTAGCAAAACCCTAATTTCTCGTAATGAGCTCTATTTTGAGATTAAGGTTCAATAATATTTTTCCGAATAAATTGTTTGAAAAAGGAACAAACGTGTTAGTTGATTGCAATGGAATTTTGATAGGCGATGTTGTACTAAGTAAAGATTTCTTTTTACTGTTTAATGGTATTTATTTATTATAAATAGGTAAATAGAAGAAGAAGAAGAAGAAGAGAGATATGGATATAATTTATCATAGTTAGAAAAAATATATTGCATAACATTATTAAGTGGGACAAACATTAATTCTTGTCTTAGTACTTGTAAAAATAGTAGACCTATAATAATCTATTCAAATATATACACTACAGCAAACCATTTTTTTAAAAAAATTAAAAATAAATACCAAACAAATAATTTATAAAAATAAATCTAACAACTAAAATATATAATTGGTATACTTTATTATAAGATACTTTTATAATATTATTATTAGATTTTTTGGGAACCTTCATTTTTTTTATCTTTTTTAATTATTATTTATCAATTAAATAACCAACTAATCCAAATGATGATAATAATTGCACCTAATTGTTACACTAATAATTTTTAATGAGTCAACAACCAATAACTATGCTTATCTTTTTAAAAATGGATTCTAAAGCAAATGTAGTAAATACAATGAAGCTTTTTATTCTAAAATAAAATAAGTAGCTTTTTATTCTACTTTTTAAGTTTTTATGGATTAAAATCTATAAAAAATTTTAAAGCAAGATCAATGATATAATTAATAATTATTGAGGTTTTAAATTTCTGTAGAATTTGGTTAAGATTAATAAGAATTTTATTAGAAATTTATTAGAATTAATTAAGATACATTTGAGATTTTTACTAGAATATTATTAGGATTTAATTAAGGATTTATTAGAATTAATTATAATTTATTTAGGACTTAGTAAGTATATTATTAGGATTTTATTAGAATTTTTTTAAATTTTATTTAAGATTTTATTAAAAATATCTTTAAGACTTTAATAGAGTTTAATTAAAATTTTATTATAATATTTTAAAAATTGTATTAGGCCTATTTAGAATTTAATTAGGATTTTCTAGGATATCCATATGATTTTTTAAAAAAATGATTTAATTTTTTTATTTAAAAATCTTTAAGATTATTTATGATTTCTTTAATGTTCTTTAAGATTTTTATAAGAGTTATTTGGGATTTTTTTGAATTAAGGTTTGATTAGGATTGTTAAGATTTAATTAGACTTTATTCATGATCTAATTAAGGTTGTTAGGTTCTTTGTTAGTTATAAAATATAAGTTTACTTTCTACAACTAAGTGCCAAATATATTTTTAAATAAGATGACATGTAATACAATAGCATGCAAATGATTCTTTTATAAAATTATTTCAAATAAAATTATTAATACAAGATATTTGTAGGTAATCTTATACAAAAATGTGTTTGTATTGTACATATTATACAACTAGTGACAACACATCATTGACTTAATTAATACAACATTAGATAAAATTACCATACATTTGACAATTAAACCATTAAAAAGAAAAAGTTGGATTATGTTGGCTTACTCAAGCCCATAATAGCTCACACAAGTAATAAGTGCATTTTAATACCTAGTGCTTATGCCCCTAAGTAAATAAAAGCTTGTACATAAAAAATAAATATGGTAGCAGTTATTATTTTTTTTCTATGTAAACATATTTTAACTTAATATAATTATCTATAGATTCTTATTTTTAACTAAGATATATGATTATTAATAAGTCAATTTAAATTTTTTTAGATTTTTTATTATAAATTAAATAACTAATATTAGATTTTATGTTAATCTAAAAGATATTTTATTAAAAAAAATCATCTAAATCAGAAATCAAAAAGATCGGAAAATATCTTAAAATAAAATAAAATAAAAAATATAAACTAAAGCTTTTTTATTCTATTTAAAGATATTTCAATCCAAACTTTGGTACTTTAGACATACATTTATCTAATTTTCTACAATTTGGAATTTAGTCAAATAATACTAAAAGTTTAGTAAAGACTCAATGATTGATTCTAAAAAAACTTTGAAAGATATTATTGTATATCAATGTTAATTTGCAATATAATTTAGCCTTGCTTATTTCTACCAAAATTTATAAGTTGAAAACAAAACTTCTATTGTGAATTGTTTTACACCAACTACATTTATAAGTCAAATTGCAAGAATATTACTTTAATTAATATAAAGAAAATAAGAGCATAAGATAAAATAATAGAAAATAAATTTTACACAAGAGATTTAATAGAATAGAAAAAATCACAAAAAAATAAAATAGAATAAAAATTATATCCTTATATTTAAATAATAGGTGATCTTAATTATACAACAAAGCATTCAGTCACAACATGTTTAGATGGTTTAGAATAATTAGATGTTTATAGAATCAATGCCTATACTATAACCAAGGGTTGATAAGGAACTAATCTTTCTAAAACCAATAATATTGATGGCAAATTTTATGTTTATCAAGTAAAAAAATAAGAATATAATCTATCATCTTCATCTAATTGTAATAAGATTGCATCTATTTCTAAGTCGAATGGATTTATTTTTATAAACAATAGCTTAGAAAATATTTAGATGGTACAAAGTAAAATTTATTTTTTAATTATAAAATGGTGATTTTGT